TTCACTGCAGAGGATCCATTGCTGAGCAAGTGATGCAATGACACATTTCTCCAAATCTGATGAAGAAACAAACTCAGCTACATCTTGGATAGCCTGAGTCCTGAGTCCTGGGTGAACGATTCATTTAACAGACACACAAGCAGATCGTACATTCAAACACAATCTCACCAGCATGTAGATTTATTCATTTGTTTAAGGCTCAATGTGTCTCAAGTCATGAAGATACGCTCCGATCTGTTTCACTCAGGCCGGATGGCTGGTCAGTTCCGTGCATAGATTCAAACACACAACCGTAACAGCAAAATCACTGGAGTAAAGCTCAGTTGGATGCGAGTGAATAGATGTTTAGTTATGTAAGGCATTATCAGCTGATTCACTCACTGGAGTTCAATCAATCTGAGCAAAACAACACACGTTTAAAAGAACAGTAAGTGCACACGTTACAGGCCAACTAATCAATCCTTAGGATTGGAACTACAACACCCCATGATGAGATGACAGTAATACAGCATGCTTTACATCAGTGCTTCTCAGCTGGGTTTGCTTCAGGACCAGGACTGTAACCACCAAAGACGGTAAGTCCTCCCCAGTGATTAGAAATGGCCAAATTGTCACCCTAATAATGTAAATTCTTGCACTGATCTGCTGCTCTCCATTACACTGTGCTCTGTTTGTTGTTAGGATGACAAAAAGTTTTTAAAATGACTGCGATGACCAATCAAATAAAAGTAGGCGGGGCCTAACAGTTCACAGAAGCAGAGAGGTACCAAACATTTAATATTTTAACTGTTTTACGATAGAAATGTTAAACAACAGTAATATCCATCTACTCAACTTTTTTTTTTGTAAATATGGCCATTTTGAATTGAAAATATGGTATCATTTACATGTTTAATGTACTTCCTAACTGAATGTGACGAGACAAGAAACGTTGTGTTTCCAACATATTAGGCATACAAATAATAGTGCATGTGTTTAAAATATTATTTACAAATAGTTCAAACTGAACAACTAGAATTAGACCCATAATTCACATATTCTATTTTTTCATGCTTTATTATAAAAATTAAATTGCTCCCTCTCAATGTTCAAGACATGATTAGAGAGAAGATTTAACACACGCACACATATATATAGAAAAAGTTCTTTTTTTTTGTAACTTGTTTCAAAAAGTGAAACTTTTATATATTCTAGATTCATTACATGTAAAGTAAAATATTTCAAAAGTTTTTTTGTGTTCATTTTGATGATTAGAGCTTACAGCTCATGTAAGTCAAAAATCCAGTATCTCAAAATATTAGAATATTTACATTTGAGTTTCATTAAATGAGCATCCCTACAGTACAAATTCTGGGTATCTCTTGTTCTTTGAAACCACAATAATGTGGAAGACTGCTGACTTGGCAATGGTCCAGAAGGCAATCATTGACACCCTCCACAAAGAGAGTAAGTCACAGAAGCTCATTACTGAAAGAGTGGCTGTTCACAGAGTGCTGTATCAAAGCATATTAAATGCAAAGTTGACTGGAAGGAAGAAATTGGGAAGGAAAAGGTGCACAAGCAACAGGGATGACCGCAACCTTGAGAATACTGTCAAGTAAAGCAGATTCAAACACTTGGGAGAGCTTCAGAAGGAGTGGACTGAAGCTGGAGTCAGTGCATCAAGAGTCTCCACGCTCAGACGCCTTCAGGAAAAGAGCTCCCAAGCCACTTCTGAAACAGAAACAACATCAGAAGCATCTTACCTGGGCTAAGGAGAAAAACAACTGGACTGTTGCTCTGTGCTCCAAAGTCCTCTTTTCAGGTAAAAGTACATTTTGCATTTCATTTGGAAATCAAGGTCTGGAGTCTGGAGGAAGACTGGAGAGGCACAGAATCCAAGCTGCTTGAAGTCCAGTGTGAAGTTCCGAAGTCAATGATGATGATTTGGGGTCTGCTGGTGTCAGTCCATTGTGTTTTATCAAGTCCAAAGTCAATGCAGCCATCTACCAGGAGATTTTGGAGCACTTCATGGTTCCATCTGCTGACAAGCTTTATGGAGATGCTGATTTCCTTTTCCAGAAGGACTTAGCAGTGGCCCACAGTGCAAAACCACTTCCAAGTGGTCTGCTGACCATGATATTACTGTGCGTGATTGGCCAGCCAACATGCCTGACCTGAAGCCCATATGGAGTCTATGGGATATTTTCAAGAGAAAGAT